GAAGAAGGGATTGTTATGAATGCAAGGAATTACAGAGTACTGTAAGCGCCAGCAAGCGCAATGGATTGAGCACTGTACTATTGGTGCATCTACACTGTAGAATTAATGCACTTTAACTGCCATGGCTCAATGCTATGGAATCTAGGGAGTTGTAGTTTGGTGAGACACCAGCACTTTTTGGCAAAGAAGGCTAACTATAACTCCCATGATTCCGTAACACTGAGCGATGGCAGCTAGTGGTGACAAAACTACATTAATTCTACAATGTAGACATGCCCTATGATTCTGGAGATCAGGGTTTGATTCCCACTCAGTCATGGGAGCCCACCTGGGAGTCACTCTGGACCGTGCTCTGACCTACAAGAAGCACTGCCTGAACATCAAGCAAAAAGTGGGTGCTAGAAACAATATCATACGAAAGCTGACTGGCACAACCTGGGGATCACAACCAGACACAGTGAAGACATCTGCCCTTGCGCTATGCTACTCTGCTGCTGAGTATGCATGCCCAGTGTGGAACACATCTCACCACATTAAAACAGCGGATGTGGCTCTTAATGAGACATGCTGTATTATCACGGGGTGTCTCTGCCCTACACCACTGGAGAAATTACACTGCTTAGCCGGTATTGCACCACCTGACATCCGCCGGGAAGTAGCAGCCAATAGTGAAAGGACCAAGGCAGAGACATCTCCAGCTCATCCCCTGTTTGGGTATCAGCCAGCACGTCAACGACTTAAATCCAGACATAGTTTTCTAAGATCTACAGAGACACTCGCTGGAACACCTCAGCAAGCAAGAGTCCAAAAGTGGCAGGCTCAAACCCAGAACCTTAACCAATGGCTGATACCAAATGAGAGACTCCCCCCTGGGCACACAGAAAACTGGGCAACTTGGAAGGCGCTGAACAGACTGCGCTCTGGCACCACGAGATGCAGAGCCAACCTCAAGAAATGGGGCTACAAAGTGGAATCCATGACATGCGAGTGTGGAGAAGAGCAAACCACTGACCACCTGCTGCAATGCAACCTGAGCCCTGCCACATGCACCATGGAGGACCACCTTGCAGCAACACCAGAAGCACTCCAAGTGGCCAGCTACTGGTCAAAGGACATTTAATCAACTACCAAACTCACAAATTTCGTATTTCACCTGTTTGTTTGCTTTGTTCTGTTAGAAACGTAATATAATTGACTGGTTGCTCTGACACGACAAATAAATAAATGGGAGCCCACTGGGTGTCCTTGGGCAGATCACACTCTCTAAGCCCCTCAAATCGTATGATTGGTGTGTTGGGTATGTTTGTGGTTTTTGGTTTGTTTGTTTTGAGGGGAGAGAGGGAAGAACAAGATGGCAAAGAGTAAGAGAAAAGGGGAGAGAACACCACATAAATGTAGGGAGGTATCGAGACAGAAAAAAGATAAAAGAAGAAATAAACAATAGAGGAAAGAGACTAAAGCGAACCCGTAGTTCATTGGTCTGTGTGATGTGATGCACTCCAGTTATTATTTGGATGTTTTTTTTGTACCACATATAACTCAATGAAGCTACAAGTAAACAGTATGAAATGTATATTTTCTTATTAGATGAGAACGATCTAAAAGAAGCACTTTCATGAACCATTTGATAGAACCATTGAAAATGTCACGAGGAAGAGAAATACCAGAAGAAGACGAGCGGCTAAAGAAGATACTAGAGATTAGAAATATGGATAGACTCATTTTCCTTATGTCAAAAAATAAAGGAATAAATATGAAAGAAACAGATTGGGGGGAAAAGTTACTGAATATCTCAAACAAAGAAATAAGATTTTGATCTAGTAAAGAGGAATTGGATAATACAAAAATGAAGAATATAAGAAGAGAGAGAAAGAAGTAAACAAGAATGAGAAGTAGAAGAGGAAGGAGAGAAAAAAGAAAGAAGAAAAGAAAAGAAAACCTCAGGAAGATACCAGGAAGTCAATATATTTTTAAATTATTATTTTTTTTTTTGTCTTTGATTTCTTGTTTTTTGTTTGTTTTTTGTTTTTAGGTTATGGTTTTGCTTAATTTACATTTCTCCTTCTCTTTGACTGTTGTTTTGTTTTTTAAACTAAACATTTCAAATAAAGGTTATTTTACCAAAAAAGAAAATGTCACGAGGAAGCTGCATTTTAGTTGAATTGCACTAAATCAATTTATTATTCAGCACATATGTAAGTTGAGAAGAGTAGCTGGATTCAGACTCGAGAATCTGTACATTTCTGTGCCAAAGCTTAGGCTTTCATAAGGTAACTGCTTCACCTACATTCCCATCTGTGTAATTCTCCATACTTTCATTGTCATCAGCATGCTGGCTGCATGGGAGCAAATCCTACACTAGACCTAAAAACAGATGTTGGCTATGAGATAAAGGACTTTTGGTTAAAATGCCCACTAGCATATGTGAGAAGAAACATCAATTATAGCAAGCCCAAGCAAGCCTTATCCAAAGGACATTTGGCCAATTTCCTTCCTGGAGCAAAGAACCAAGGCTGACTCCAGTTCATGCCATCCAATTTAGATGCAGATATCCCTGTAATTAAATCAAAGTGCCTTGTGAATGAACATGGGCCACATGCAAATCTAAATGAATTCATCTTGGCAGGTCCAGCCTTTAAAACGACTCCTGTAGTGATTCGTGGATCAAGAAGGCACTTATGTGCTAGAGCTATGCAAAATGAAATCAGCATTGTGACTTTAATATTTTGCAGGCATCCTCCTAACAGACAAGAAACCTTGGAGAGTCTCTTGTTCTTGCCATTTGCCATCAAGTGACATCTCCAGCTTATCCCTTGTTTGGGTATCAGCCAGCACGTCAATGGCTTAAATCAAGAAATAGTTTTCTTAGATCTACAGAGACACTCGCTGGAACACCCCAGCAAGCGAGAGTCCAAAAATGGCAGGCTCAAATCCAGAACCTCAATCAATGGCTGATACCAAATGAGAGACTCCCCCCTCGGCACACAGAAAACTGGGCAACTTGGAAGGCGCTGAACAGACTGTGCTCTAGCACCACGAGATGCAGAACCAATCTTAAGAAATGGGGCTACAAAGTGGTATCCACAACATGCGAGTGTGGAGAAGAGCAAACCACTGACCACCTGTTGCAATGCAACCTGAGCCCTGCTACATGCACAATGGAGGACCTTCTTGCAGCAACACCAGATGCACTCCAAGTGGCCAGATACTGGTCAAAGGACATTTAATCAACTACCAAGCTTGCAAACTTTGTGTTTTGTCTGTCTGTTAGTTTGTTTGTTTGTTTTGTTAAAAATGTAATACAAATATCTGGTTGCTCCTGACACGATAAATCAATCAATCAAGTTAATTTTGAGTTACAGCAGTCCTATGAATGAGAGATTTCCAAGAGCTGCAGTCTTCAAAGGCCCCGATCAGGTTTTTTAGATTTACAGCCATGACTTGCTTCCCTCTTTTCATCCTACTGCCTTCCACAGTAACAAGCATGATCATATTTTCCCATGAGTTACATCATCTTATATGTCCAAAGCAACTTGCCTATTTAAATTTACAAGATGACAGCTAGAGCTCTGTTAATGTCTTACGCATGTCTAAGCTTCCCCGTCGAAGTTGTAGCACATTTTTATTTGATGCAGAATGCCCATAATTAAGGCTTACAGAAGCAGTTGGAATACCAGTTAGTATAGTATATAGATGCACGTACTAACAGATTTGCATTCTTGGCAAATGTCTTTATCCAGAAGGCTGAAATACAAAATCCTCCAAAGCTGTCCATATAAGTGCTTGAAATAGTGACACCTTTGCTCTCTGATGGTTGAATTTATACAAACTTTGTTTAGCACCCTCCCGAGGGAGATCAGGCTGCTCTCCATGCTGCAAGCTTTCCACACGCAACTGAAGACATTGTTGTTTCAACAAGCCTTCAACCACAGTTAGATGCTTTTTATAAATATGTGAAGACCCATAGATAAATAAATAAATCTACCTCATGTGACTAAGATAGACTATTGTTGTTTTATATCTGCAGCTATTGCTGTATTCTATTGATTTTAACCAAGAGGTTTTATGAACTGAGATATTTATGTTGGCTCTTACTGTTTTGTGTTACTGTATCTACATTTTTTTGTATTTTATGTGTTGCACCTTTGAGTGCCTTGTCAGCTACCCCGAGTCCCTCTGGGAGATCGTGGCAGTGTATATATACAGTGTTGTTGATGTGATTGTTGTTGTTGCAAAACATCACTTAAAGCAGTGTTTCTCAACCTGGGGGTCAGGACCCCTGGCGGGGTGTCAGAGAGGTCACCAAAGACCATTGGAAAACACAGTATTTTATGTTGGTCATGAGGGTTCTGTGTGGGAAATTTGGGCCAATTCTATCATTGGCTGTGTTGTAGTAGAGTCTGTTGGCAACGCTGCAACTGGTAGTAGGAGTGGTAGAGGAGGCAAACGAGGTGCCCAGGTGTTAGATGAGGAGCAGCAAAGGAAGAAAATTTGGGAGTGTCTGGCTCTTTAAGGCATCTGGGTTCCAACAGGCGGGGTTCAGAATGCTCTTTGATTGTAGTTGAACAATAAATCCCAGCAACTACTACTCCGAAATGTCAAGTCTATTTTCCCCAAACTCCACTAGTCTTCAGATTTGGGCAAATTGAGTCTTCGTGCCAAGTTTGCTCCAGATCCATCATTGTTTGAGTCCACAGTGCTCTCTGAATGTAGGTGAACTATAACTCCAAAACTCAAGGTCATTGCCCACCAAACCCTTCCAGTATTTTCTGTTGGTCATGGGAGTTTTGTGTGCCAGCTTTGGTTCAATTCCATCATTGATGGAGTTCAGAATGCTCTTTGATTGTAGGTTAACTATAAATCCCAACAACTACAACTCCCAAATGGCAAAATTAATCCCTCCCAAGCCCACCAGTATTCAAATTTGGGCGTATCAGGTACTTGTGCCAAATTTGGTCCAGTGGAATGAAAATACCTTTTTTTTTCATTTTATATTCCAGTCAGACACAGAATTTTGGGATAAAATGCAAGCAGAATGGGAAGAAATGGCCCGTAGAAATTGGATTTCAGAAAGCCAAGAAGCACAAGGCCAAGCAGCTGTTTCCATTAATGAGAAGGTAATGCTGTGAAGACACCAGTTTCCATCCAATCATGAACACTAAACAAGGTCAGCTCTCTTTAGTACTTGAATGGTAGATGGCCAGCAAATACCAGGTGCTGAAGGAGTATATTTCAGAGGAAGGAATTGGCAAATATCACTTCTGAGTATTCCTTGCCTTTGAAAACCCTATGAAATTCTTGGAGTTGCCATAAGTCAACAGGGGACTTGAAGATACATACACCCATTACTCAATGATGAAGGCTGTGGTAGGCCCATAGGGTTGCTGTGGTCAATCATGGAAGCTCAACTAGAACATTGACCTCACTAATCTCAACCAGAAGGGAAACAAATTCCACAAATGCCTTCTCCATTTGTTTTGATTTGCCATTTATTTGATTCCTAAAATGTCCGTTAGTACACTCACGTCCATTCTTAGCCTGGCTTCTACCAAAAAGCAGTGTCATTGTGTTATCTGTTTTCCTTCAGTGGTAAGACATTGTGCTGCCATTATAGTGTGAGGTTCCACATTTCCCCTCTATACATTTCAGTGGCTACAGTTGCACAAGTGAGGAGAATTTATTTATTTATTTATTTATTTGCAGTATTCATATTTATATTCCGCCTTTCTCACCCCGCAGGAGACTCAGATCGGCGGTTTAGCACAGCTGGTAAATCATTAGCCATTATAATATTTATCAACCAAAAGGTTGCAAGTTCGAAGCCCTGGGTTGGTGTGAGTGGCCCTAGCTCATTGTTTACCTAAGCAATTCAAAAACAACGTTAGCTGTGATTAGAGAAATTAGGTACCACTAAAAAAAGCGGGGGAGGTGTTTTACGATGCCATAAAGAAGGAAGATCAGAGAATGCTGGGCGATCAAAAGGAAGAAGGAAGTCCTGATGGCTCTTTGTCATAGAGGATGGAGCAACAGCACCCCCTGGACTCAAGCCCAACCTTCCATGGCACCTCCTTCTGTTCTGTCTGTCTATACAAAGCAGTATTGAATGTTTGCCATGTATATGTTCTGTGATCTGCCCTGAGTCCCCTTCAGGGTGAGAAGGGTGGAATATAAATAAAGTGTTGTTGTTGTTGTTGTTGTTATCATTATTATTATTATTATTATTATTACAGTGCACATATACATGGCAAACATTCAATGCCATAGACACACAACATGTATAGACAAACACAGAGGCAATTTAAGCTTCAAGAGTGTATGCTCGAATTCCAGCCACCGGGGGAGCTGTCACTTCATAGTCCACTTGTGACGCCGAGTCCTTGATGAAGTACTTCCTCATTCTTTCGTCCGCTGCTGGAGATGTTTATGGTGCTGTAAATTAGTTAAATTACATAAGCGGTACCTAAATTTCCTACTTGACAGATGCAACTGTCTTTTGGGCTGTAAGCTAATTCCGACTTGGGCTGGCTTTGAACTCATGACCTTTCGGTCAGTGGTGATTCAATGCAGCTGACTCCTAGACAACTGCACCACAGCAAGGTCCTTTGAAAGAGATGAAAGAAGAAGAAGGGGCAGAGATGGTGAAGAAGTGGTTTTGTTTTCATAACGCCTGGTTTCAGCCATATTCCCTTAGGATGTCATGACAAACCAACCTTTCATCATTCAGAGATCCAAACACTGCTGTGGAAATTAAGCCATCCTATCTGGAATGGAGACTCTATGGTCCTCCAGACATTGTTGAAGTTCATCTATCTGCAGGCTCAACCAGCACTGCCAATGGTTATGAATGATGAGAGGTGTCATCCAAGAATGTCTGTAGAGTCACGGTTTTCTCTCACATTTGCTATAGCAGGTATGGGCAAATTTCAGTCCTCCAGGTGTTTTGGACTTCAACTCCCACAATTCATGGGAGTTGAAGTCCAAAACACCTGGAGGGCCAAAGTTTACCCATGCCAGTTTACCTGCCCACCAAAGAACCTTGGAGTTTCATGCATTGATAGGACACCAGAAGCCATTTAACTGCTGGTAATTTAGATCATAATTCCATGTACACTTGTGATAAAACCCTTTTGAAGTAAACTGGACTTTCTGTGGAATGAAATATGCATAGGATTTGCCCTGTAAACCTTTTTATGCTTCCATGTCTCATTGTCATCATCAATTCTCTGTTGCAGGGCTATTATTTTCATACAGAAAACCCTTTCAAAGACTGGCCCGGTGCTTTTGAGGAAGGGCTGAAAAAGTTGCGAGAGGGGGATTTGCCCCTCACCATTTTATACCTGGAGGCGGCAATTCTCCAAGATCCTCACGATGCTGAGGTATCCACCCTGATTTATATTCTGGAAATTGAGCTTGTTTTCTGTGTAATAGAGGAAGAACCTTTTAGCAGCCAGGCTTAATGGCTTACAGAGGCATGGTGTTCCCAATCAATTATAACTGAAAGGGGAATGTATCATTAAACTAAATGGGAGATGCTCGAAATACACACAGAACCTGGGATTATGTCAGTTGTTTTGTTTTTGACATAAGACAAATCTCTGTGAGAAGAGGTCTATTGAATCAATGAGATGTATATCTATATTGTTACTACTTTTGTTTTTGCTATTTCTATCATAACCAGTTTGGGAGTCAAAGAGGCTTACAGCAAATTTTAAAAACATATCCTTAAAATCCATAAAATGCAAGATTAAAAATGAGATTAAATCCTCAAAATTTGAAATCAGATTAAAACAAATATCATTAAACATGCACACACCAGCACAATTAGCAATATGTATCAATATGCATGGGTCTACTTATATGACTATCCCAGGCATGGGCAAACTTCGGCCCTCCAGGTGTTTTGGACTTCAACTCCCACCATTCCTAACACCTGGAGGGCTGAATTTTGCCCATGCCTGCTCTATACAGTGTGATTAACCAACAAACTTCAGACCCTAGTTTGTAGAGTTGTGTCTTGGATCCATTCACGTGGTTAGATTGCCCCTAGTACAGTGGTTCTCAGCCTGTGGGTCTCCAGATGTTTTGGCCTTCAACTCCCAAAAATTTAAAAAGTTAAGGGAAAAAAATTTAGACAAAATAAGGGATTGGATAAATGTAGGAATGAAGAAGGAAATGATTATGGAAGAATTTAGAGAAATAAAATTGACATGGTTCCATTGTATACAATTAGAACAATGGTTTAAAAATTGGGGGGGGGGGAAATATTAAAAATGGAAGTAAGCGTAACCAAATTTGAACAAATAATACAAAATGGAAGGGTTGGAGAGGAGCATGAAAATTTGAAAGGAGTAACTAGTAAAGTATATAAGATAATAGTTGAAATAAAGAAAGGAAAAACAAAAAATAACACCCTCAAGGAGGTCTGGGAAGAAGATTTAGGGATAAAAATAAATGAAACAGAGTCACAACAATTATGGAGACAAAGGCATCTAAAAATTTATCAATACGGGTTAAAGAAAATTATTATAAGTTAATATGGAAATGGTACCTAACGCCAGTAAGAATAGCAAATATAAATAAAAACTATTCAAAAAATTGCTGGAGAGGATGTCAAGAATCAGGAACGTATATACATATGTGGTGGCAATGTAAATATGTAAATAATTTTGGGGGGAAAGTATTTAGAGAAATAGAAGATATAATGAATATTAAAATAGAAAGAAGTCACAGTATAGCTTTATTGTCATTATATAATAATAAACAATTGAAAAAAGAGGATAAAGATGTGATAACAAATTTATTAACAATAGCAAGACTGCTTATAGCAAGGAATTGGAAAAGGGAAATAAATATACAAATAGAGGAGTGGTACAAGGAAGTATTTAAATTGGCAATAAATGATAAGCTAACATGTATATTAAAAGTTAAAAGAGGTATATGGAAACAAAGTGATTTTGATGATGTATGGAGAAAATTTATTGAAAAAGGATTAAAAAATAAAGAAGGAAAGTTACTTCCACAAGAAGAATTGAAATTTTGGACAGATGATATGTAAAAGCCGTGGCTTGGGAGTAGGGGAGGGGAGCACAGCAGTGAGGGATAGATAATATGTATAAGCAGAAAAATAACACTAGATGCCAGAAGTTAAAGCATGGTAGGTTGTATTGAATAATACGTATCTGCTGTAAAACAAACAATGTATAACAAATGTATTGAATGATGATAAAATAATAAAATATGTCATTTAAAAAAAACTCCCAGAAATTCTAACAGCTGGCAAACTGGCTGGAATTTCTGGGGAGTTGTAGGCCAAAACATCTGGAGACCCACAGGTTGAGAACCACTGCCCTAGTAAAATTGGAGGATCAGCATGGAAGAGTTATTTTTGGACTGTAGTTCTTATTGTCACCCAGCCAGAATAGAGCTGTAATCAAGGAAGTAACTGCTATGATTTGGAAGGTTAGATTGCGGGTTACAAAAATCAAAGTTCTGAGTCAGTTTATTTAAACACTTGTATTATCTATGTAGTTGAGTATCTCACTGAGCTGCTGCTTGGACCTCTCTGTCCACTAGCACTTTCCATGTACAGAATGAGCCCTCTGTATCCGTGGGGATATGTACCTGAACTTACTCTGGAAACTAGAAACCATGGATAAGAGCAAATGCTTTGGGACTCAATCAAGAGAGAAAAGCAGAATATGAATATATAAATAATAAATACTGTATTTACTTGATTCTAATGCTCGCCTTTTTTGACTAAATTACCTTCCAAAAACTAGGATGCACATTAGATTTGCATAGGAGGCCTCAGTGGCACAGCGGGTTAAACCACTGAGCTGCTGAACTTGTTAACAGAAAGGTTGGCAGTTCTAATCTGGGGAGCAGGCTGAGCTCCCGCGGTTAGCCCCAGCTTTTCATGAAAACAAGGTGTGTAGATTGATAGGTACCGCTCTGGCAGGAAGGTAATGGTGCTCCATGCAGTCATGCTGGCCACATGACCTTGGAGGCATCTACGGACATCGCTGGCTCTTCAATTTAGAAATGGAGATGAGCCCCCCCCTCCCCCGAGTTGAATACAACTAGAGATAATGCCAGGGGAAATTTTTACCTTTACCTTTACTTATTAGATTTGTGTAACATTTTCAATACTTTTTTGGGTTTCAGGATTTTGAAAATTGAGGTGTAAATTATATTCAATGATGCATTAGACTCGAGTAAATATGGTAATAACCCTGTTGAACAAATTCTGGCAGAAGTTACCATAGATTTGCCCTGGATGACCTATAATATTACTAGGTCGGCCATGTGAATCTAAAGTGATTTCCAGCAGAAGTATACCATAGACTTACCTGGTGGACCTAGAATCACCTGGAGGACATATTTTGTTGGATGCAGGTAGATGAAACCATGGACGCTGGCCTTGTGGATATGGGGGGGGGGGGAGTTGCTCTAGAACAGAAACATAGTGATAATCCCAGGTATGTTTTTTCTGTTCTTGCTTTTTTGCATTCTTCCCATTTGTAAATGTACTTATATCTAGGCTTTTTAGTGCCTGGCAAAAAGGTGGGGTGTATCCTAACAAAATACTTAACAATGCAATAATTCTACAAAAAAAAAATCTATGTTGCAGGCTTGGCAGTTTCTTGGGATAACACAAGCAGAAAATGAAAATGAGCAGGCAGCTATCGTCGCCCTCCAAAGGTAGGCAGGTTGCATTAATTTCAGAGGATCCTGTTGACTGCTGCATTATCAATATCGGAGGCATTGCCATGTCTGCCTTCAAGTAAAGGGATGTACAGACTATTCTGTTACCTTCTTTTAGACCACTGCAAGAGGAACAAGCTTTCAAATTGCTTTGAAAAGGACCCAGAATCTATACAATTTAAAGTCTTGCTCCATCCCACAAAATAATATAGAGAGATGACTTTAAACATAAGTTTTATAGAGAGCTATCATTTTGCATGTGTGATTGGTAAGTTCCAGTCCATAATAAGATCATCTGTAGGACTTTTTGCTTTAGGTGCAGAAATCATTGAATTTAATATGAGGCATGATCCAAGTCATGTTGCATCTTAGTGAACCTACTGTTATAATATTGACTAAGCTTGTGTTTGGAATGTCTGCTCCATAGTACATATTGAAATAAATGCAATGTTTTGGTGGAATTTATGGACATGATTTGCTTTCCTTTACCTCTCCAGTGCTGCCTGCCTCCCCAAAACCAGTTCTGAGTGGTTTCCAGGTCTTCAGTACTGTTTTAGGGGGTGCGTAAGAGGCAGCAATGGAATTCCTTCTTTAGGCATAATCAGGTGCTGTTTCTCTGTAGTGCAATACATGAGTGAGACCATATCAAATATATTTACATTGATGTTGCATGAATGGTTTAGCTCTTACTAGTTTAATGTGCACAGTATCAATGTCTACATGGTGGGGTATTTTGCAGGTATGCCTGTACATGTGAACGCTTCTGGATTGGGATTTGAAGGATGTGGTATTGTGCACACTCAGGGTACCCGTGGTAGTATTCACACTATACTTGCTGTGACACAATTAACTTTCCCCTCAAAAGTAGACCTTCTAAGCCATGGGAGACCTTCACACGGCACACAGTTCTGCTACTGGTTCCTCAATATGCCCACTAGCTACAATTTGATTGCAGCTGCCTGTAGTTTCAGAGAAGTTAGGAGACTTGAACAGAACTTGAGGGGAGGGCTTTATTATTTTAAAATGAAGTTTCTGGCTCTTATGGCTACAAAGAGATACATTTTAGCCTAATTACAATATATGATTATATGCTGTATGGCATATGATGGGAATCTGTAGGTCTCCAGTAGCCAGAGGTTAGAATCTTCTTGCTTTGCTATGTTTCCAGTTAAGTCCTCAGTTACACAGCATAAGTTCTCTTGGGAGGTATTGCAGAGAATGGTATTCATTGTCTCCTTGCACAATGGAAGTTAGCCATTTCCATACTCAAAATGGCCTTTGCTTGTCCATGTAGGAGCACTGTTATGCCTTCACCTTCCTCCTGGACTATCTGTATCCTTCCCTCTTATATCTTCTTCCCAACTGTGTTGCTGAAGTGTTACACCCCACCAATGATAAAAGGGAAAAGACCTCAGATAGAAAATATGGCTTTGGTTCGCTCTTTTCTTCCCCAACATCAGCAAAATAAGCTATGCAAGGTGTATGCTTTAATTTGTACATAATTTGAGTAGACTTGGTTTAGACACAAGTACACAACTAAATGTGAGTAGATGAATAGGTCCCTGTTTCTGCGGAAAGGTAACAGTGCTCCGTGCAGTCATGCTGGTCACATGACCCTGGAGGTGTCTACAGATATAACGTGATTTAAAGAATATCTGGGGCAGGGGGGAACAACAAATCCCACCGCTGCCACCAATATAGCGAAATTAAAGATACCAGCACCGATGTACCGATGCACCGATGACAGCCACCACCTCAGCTTCTATTGGCCTGAGGAACCAAAGGTGTGAATTTGTTTTAGGTAAGGTGTGTTTGCCCTTGTTCTTCTATGGCTTCTTCACTGGCTGACTAGACTTTTAAAAGTGCTTGACAAACTGAAGCTGACACCAGTTGAAAGTGAACTAGAAAGAGTTTATTGAACTTGGAACAAATATCACCTCATAGCATGAGGGGTACAGAAGCGTAATTCAGTTGTAGAGACTTAGTTACTTAAACAAGTAGTTCCACTGACAGTAGAGCTTTTATCAACTGTGAGATTCCTTAAACACACTGCTCTATCTTTAGAAACAGTAACACTCGGAGAACAGATCCCTATCTGTCTCTCCCACAGGGCAAATAAGCACTCTTATACTTTTCCTCAGTATAAACAGACAAGTCTTTCTGTTACTGATCCTACTAATACAGTAACCCTAGCCCTTGTCTGTCTGCTTATTCCCTATTCTAAAGGCTCACTTAAAACTTTCTTTCCCTGTCAGATCCCTACTGTAACTTCCTATCTTAACATTTCATCCTTCTGTGTCTCATGTCAAGACACTTCTCTCTCTCTGTCAAGAGCTGACAGCTTATTTCCCTCTCTCAACCGACTCCTCCCCTAATTGCTATACCCAATCAGGAGTCGGCTTGACTCCTCCTCCTGTCTCTGCCTGCCTTCCAAGATGACAGCTACTGTCATGCAGGCTTCGGCCTTGTCGTCTTAAAGGTAGATTCCACTACAACAGACAATGCCGGCTCTTCAGTTTAGAAATGGAGATGAGCACCAATCCCCAGAGTTGGACATAACTAGACTTAATGTCAGGGGAAACCTTTACCTTTTACTGTTTAACAGTTCAGTTTAATCCTTTAAATTATTTGCAAAGCTTAATCTAGTATGCTATTGAATCAAACAAATGGAATCATGTAGGAAAAGCTAACAGTCTCCAGTAAATACAAAGACAGAACTCTGCAAATAAGGAAAGTCTTTGATATTCCTGGCACTGGTACACGTTCTAAAGGTTTATCTCTCCATTAGGCATGCAACTTAATTGAGCTAAACTCATTCCTACAGCCAGATGTTAAACATGCAGTGATCTTTTTCTGATGTGGTCATGTTTGCAATTCTAGGCAGATAGCAATCACCATGCACTTTCTTCCAAAACACTAGTTATTATTCCGCATGCATGGACAGTCAGCTGCATCGTAGTCACTTGCACCTGATATTGAGTACACACCAATCATTCCATTCATTTATCTAAAAATATTTTAATTACTGTAGTCGTTTTCATATCTTCCTTCCTTGTACAAGATAAGCAAAGTATAGTAGGCCTGCATAGTACACAAGAAATCCGTTTATGGACTCTGTGTAGCTCAATTTTTGTATATAATCGGAAACCCAGTTTTTCTTACATGACATGAATAAATGTCTTGGACTTCTAGCCAAAGCATACCATAGTGTTGTGCAGGAGGATCTATTGATGCCTAGAGAAGTTATCTCCTAAGCTGCAAGTGTAGTTCTGTGGTCAACTTTTACTGGAAGGGAGTTTCTATGGAACTCAAAGCTCATCTATATAAATAAAAATGTAATATTTGTTTGTGGGATTAACAGAACTCAAAAACCACTGGACGAATTGACACCAAATTTGGACACAAGACACCTAACAACCCAATGTATGTCCTTCACTCAAAAAATCGATTTTGTCATTTGGGAGTTATAGTTTCTGGGATTTATAGTACACCTACAATCAAGCATTCTAAACTCCACCAACGATGGAATTGAATTAAACTTGGCACACAGAACTCCCATGACCAACAGAAAATATTGGAAGGGTTTGGTGGGCATTGGCCTTGAGGTTTAGAGTTGTAGTTCACCTATATCCAGAGAGTACTGTGGACTCAAACAATGATGGATCTGGACCAAACTCTACACAATACTCAATATGCCCAAATGTGAACACTGGTGGAGTTTGGGGAAAATAGAATCTTCATATTTGGGAGTTGTAGTTGCTGGGATTTATAGTTCACCTACAATCACAGAGCATTCTGAACCCCACCAATGATAGAATTGGGCCAAACCTCCCACACAGAACCCCCATGACCACCAGAGAGGGCCACAGCATGTTAAACAAACTTGCAAGATAATGGATCTACTGCAACACACACCACCATATCTAATTAGGTTTATTCCTGATCTCTGAAATGAACATGTAAAGACCAGGAATTTCTGAAAGAGTTGGCAAGGAATGGCAGCTCTCACATTCACCATGTACGCATGTTCTAAATACATAACATAACAACTGGGCATTTATTAGTTGAAGGTCTGTAGCAAATAATAATAATGAGGCTTTCAGTGGTTGCAATTTCTGTAAGAGAGTGTGCAAGGTCATTTCATGTTGTAGGAATATATGAATATCAGGAATATATGAATATTCCTTTGTGAGGATGAGGTGATCTTCTTCGATTTGCCTGAGAAAGCGTCAACACTTTTCAGAACAATGGAGAAAGAATATTTAAATATCATTAAAAAATTAGATTGTTCAGTGAAGGTGTTAAGTTGGCTGTAATCAGCCCAAGAACTGTCAATTGTGGAATCTACTTATTTTATTTATTTATTGGATTTATATCCTTCCTTTCTCCCAGAATGGGATCTAATTTATCATTGAGACCTCGGCGAATAGCAGCTATGATACAGGACTGTTTCCATCAGCTGAAGTTAACTTAGCCTTTTGGCACTACTGCTACATCCCATTTAATACTTTCACATGTAAATCACTGTTTTTGGTGCATCACTGACTTTATTTCATTTTGATAGGCCCTCAAGCTTTAGTTGGCTTTGGAACTGAATGGACCAGGGCCCTGGAATAGTTGCAGAAGGCCCATGAGTCAGCTATGTTAGGAAATGTGTTCTGTTGTGCCTCCATGAGACTAACTGTGTGACTACCTTTTTCCTAAATCCAAAAATGAGTTATTTTGCCTGTAACTGGATAGCTGTTTTTGCAACTTGTATCCCCTTGCATCAATTTTGTTGTTGTGCTTTTACAAAGCAGAATATCCAAGATGGAGTAGTCACCAAATTATCCCACCTAGTAGCTTATAAAATGTGCTTTTTATCACTTTTGCACCAAGAAATAATATAATATATATACTTTATTTATATTCCACTCTATCTCCCCAAGGGGACACAGAGCAAATTACAGGTACATATATGACAAACATTCAATGATGTTATACAATTGTCAAAGAGATACAGTATATAAACAGAGGCATGGCTTCCCTCATTTCATCTTTGGGATCCAGCTGTGCTCGACTCGGCTATAGGGAGGTGCTGGTCGAATTTTTTCTGGCATCTTTTTCAGGGTGCCTTTTACCTCCATCTGAACATGAGGAAGAACTTCCTGTGAGACCCATTCAGCAGTGGAACTCTCAGCCCTGGAGTGTGGTAGAGGCTCCTTCTTTGGAAGCTTTTAAACAAAGGCTGGATGGCCATCTGTCAGGGGTGCTTTGAATGCAATATTTCTGCTTCTTGGCAGGGGGTTGGACTGGATGGCCCATGAGGTCTCTTCCAACTCTATGATTCTACGATTCTATGATCCCCACTAAAGCGGTACCTATTTATCTACTTACACTGTTGTTTTCAAACTGCTAGGAGAGCAGAAACTGGGCTGACGGCGGGAGCTCACTCTTATGCAGACTTGAACTGCCAACCTTTCAGTTGGTAAGATCTTCTACAGCTGGCAGTTCAACCCACTGTGCTAGCCCGGCCCTGAGAAAAGCTCAGTTCAGTCTCTGATGCCCCAAAGTTGAAAGGACCATAACTTGAAAAAGTCTGCTAGTCAGTGATATTACCAGTTAATTAACAATACTGGGCTGTATAGATAATTTAACCGATGTAATGCAACTTTGAGGGAAGTGTCACATGTGGGATCCCAGGAAACTGCCTGAATGCATCTTCTGATTCCTGTGGCAGTATGTCCATATCTCCACCCAGGGCTAATGGCTGTTACATAGAATCATGAAGTTGGAAGAGTCCACAAGACCCATTCAGCCCCCTTCTGCCATGCAGGAACACAGAATCAAAGTACAACCCCAGTCTCTATTTAAAAAAATGGTAAAGGAGACACCACATCACTTTGAGGCAGTGTGTTCCACTATTGAACACTTCATACCATCAAGAAGTTCTTCCTAATATTCGGGTAGAATCACTTTTTTCTGCTCATATTGCTTAAAAGCTAAGATCGAAATTTATGTATACACATTTTCTTGGAACTAGCAGATCTTCTTTATCTCTGTTGGACTGACTGTGAAGTAAATCCAAGTTAATTACAACAACAACAAAAAACCAGTTTTTTCCCCAAAAATACATTCTTTTATAGGCTTAACTCAAGACTCAAAACGTTGCATTTTAATTAATGGGCTTCATGCCAGAGAGGTATTGAGTTAATCGTTTTCCTTTCCTCAGGTGCTTAGAGCTTCAGCCAAACAACTTGAAAGCGCTGATGGCCTTGGCTGTGAGCTTTACAAATACTGGCCATCAGAAGGAGGCCTATGAAGCACTGAGAAGTTGGATCAAGCAAAATCCCAAATATAAGTACATAACGAGGAGCAAAAAAGGATCTCCAGCATTGACTAGAAGAATGTCCAAGACAGCCAATGAAAGGTAACAATTGTTTATATCAGTTGGGGTTTTTATGAGTTACATCTGGACCATTAAAATGCCCTTGGATGCATGTATGTTGACATGTCTGTTTAGAGTGACTTCAGTATAGATGTAATATGCTCACTCCTGGATGTTACTGTAATCAATCTGGCTGCTGTATTTTGAACCAGCTGGAGTTTCTAAACTTGGTACAAGGATAGGCCAATGTAAAGTACATTGCAGAAGTCCAGCCTTGAGATTACCAGTGCATGGACTACCATCTTTAGGTCCTCGAAATCTAGGAAGAGGTACAGTTGGTATATCAGCTGAAGCTGATAGTAAGCATTTTGACTGTCGCATCTACCTGGGTTGACATTTGAGGAGCAGATCCAAGAGCCCTTGTCCCAAGCTGGAACACAGTCTTTCAGGGGGAGTGTAATCACATCCAGAACTGGTTGACATACCTCCATCCCCAGATTAGGACCCTTGATGGCAAGCACCTCTGTTTTTTCAATTTCAGTGTGTTTTTCCCCATCCAGCCCATTTCCTCCTCCAGGCATTTGTTCAGGGAAGACATACTATCCTTAGCTGAGGCTGTTTTTGAAGGCATGGAGAAATATATTTGGTTGTCATCAGTATACTGATAACACCCAACCCCTTGCCTACTAATGAGCTCTACAGTTTCATGTAACTATTAAAAGCATTGAGGATAGAATGGCATTTTGTGGGATACCACATAATAGCTCCTTTTTTGAGGAGCAGTTCTCCCCAAGCACCACCACCTGGAACCTGTCTGAGAGGTGCAGCCAGAACCACTGCAGCACAGTGCCTCCAATTCCCAGCCTCTCCAGGCGTTCTTATGAGTATTGAGATAGAAATTATCCACTAAGGTGTCTATGGCAGTCTCAACTCCATATTCTGCTCTGAAGCCAGTTTGAAATGAGTCAAGGAAGTGTGTGTCATCCAAGACTACCTTAAGTTAGAGGGCAGCTGTCTTCTCAATCATTTTGCCCAAAAAGAGAAGGTTAGACAATGGTGTGTAATTATTAAGGTCCAGGGGATCCAGGGAGGGCTGGATGATTGTCTTCCAAAGGTAGGCTCTTGGCAGTGGGTCCATTAGTGACTGTGAAGACCTGTTCTGGATACACATGGTATTTCACAGTGAGTACATTGATTACCAGATGGAAGGCAGTCCTGACAGGGGTGGCTTGACGCGCCTTCCTCTTGGCACATTTTTCCCCTTTGCCCTTCATTTGTGCCTCTTCGAATTCCACAACACTGTTGGCAACTTGACTTCCAGTTACAGCATTTGAGTGCCAGAGCTTCCCAGTTCTCAGTGTTTATACCAAATTTTAAGGTTAGCTTTAAGCCATCTTTTAAATCTCTTTTGTTGTCAACCGACATTCTGTTTTCGATTTTTGAGTTGAGACTAAAATAACTGCTTTGGGAGATTGTGATAGGACATTCAGACAATGTTGCCAGTCCAGTGAAGTTGATGGTGAAAAATCATTTCTTCAATGCTATAAAACTGTGACATTTGTGTGCCTGTCTTCTCAAGAGATTTTCAGGATTTCTCAAAGGCAATGCCGATGGAATCTTTCCAGATGTCGAGAATGGCATTTGTAGATGATCCATGTTTTACAGGCATACCACAGAGTTGGGAGGGCAAGAGCTTTATAAACAAGTATTTTTGTATCCCTATGGATATCCTGATCTTCAAACACTCTGTGCTTCATTCAAAAAAAATGCAGACCTCAGATGATTGTGTTTTGTCCTCAATGTGGACTTTTGTGGAGAGATGGCCGCCAAGATAGTGGAAATGGTCAATGTTTCCTAGCATTACACCATTAAGCTGTATTCCAGAGAGATTGTTTTGTGCCTGCTGGTAGAGCACTTTGGTTTTTTCAATGTAAAGTGAAAAGCCAAGCCTTTTGTTGTATTTATTGAGATGAACAGTATTACCTTTATTGTTATATATGTGTTTTAAAATTATATGAAATATTAAATAATAATAATAATAATAATAGTAGTAGTAGTAGTAGTAGTAGTAGTAGCATTTGTGGTTCACAAATGGAACTTTGAAAAAGGAGATGCAGCCCAAGAACAAGCCATTAGAACCAATGCCATCAAAGCCAGAATTGAAAAGTCAACTACAGATTCCAAGTGTAGACTCTGCAAGGAAGCAGACAAAACAATGGATCACATACACAGCTGCTGCCAGAAGATCATGCAGACAGACTACAAACAGAGGCACAATGCTGTTGTTCAGATGATCCATTGGAACTTGTGCCACAAATACCATCTGCCTGCGACAAAGAACTGGTGGGCTCACAAGCCTGAAAAAGTTATGGAAAATGGAGCACAATCCTCCTGACCTCATGATCGTGAGAAAAAAACAAGTATGGATCGTTAATGTTGCCATCCCAGTTGACAGTAGGATTGACAAGAAGCAACTGGAAAAGCTTGCGCAATATGAGGATTTACAGATAGAACTGCAAAGACTCTGGCACAAGCCAGTAAAGGTGGTCCCAGAGGTGATTGGCACACTGGGTGAAGTGCCTAAAGACCTTGGCCTGCACTTAAAAGCAATCAGTGATGAAAAATTACCATCTGTCAGCTGCAAAAGGCTGTCTTACTCAGATCTGCACGCATTATTCGCCAGTACATCACACAGTCCTGGACACTTGGGAAATGTCTGACGTGTGATCAAATACAAAAGCCAGCATAGTGATCTTGTTTGCTGTATAATAATCTTGTTATGTATCTAATAATAATGATGATTATGATGATGATGATGATGATGATAGTGATAATAATAATAATAATAAATAATTTCTGTGTATTGTGTTTTTTTCTCTAGTTCATTGCTCGAGGAGGTGAAGGAACTGTACCTAGAAGGAGCTCATCAAAATGGTGAGATGATAGATCCAGACTTACAAACAGGGCTCGGTGTGCTCTTCCACCTCAGTGGGGAATTTAACAGGGCAATAGACGCTTTCAGCGCTGCTCTCACTGTTCGGCCAGAGGTGAGTTTGACATTTCTGCATTAAAAAGTTTTACACATTGCTGTCCACTCTCATTTTTTAAAGAGTTTGGTCTGCATTAACAAGCTGTCACTCCAGCCATTAATACTTCTGCCTGAAATAGAAATGTTAATTGCAAGGAGAGTCCCATTTTTAAATAATTGTAATCCTGTCCCATTTCTGACATGCTTGCAAATGAAGGAAGAGCAGATTCATAGGAGGTTATTCATCATTCCAAGTCATGATCTCATGTTCTGTGCCAGTTAATGAAAAATACAATTTCTTTTTTTTTCCTGCACCACTCATTAATTTGAGGCAGGAGGCCAATTTTATTTTAATTGTCTGTACAAGGATTGCACCAGTACTAGAAAACTATCATTGTGTTGTCAGGATTATTCATTGTGGAACCGTCTAGGTGCAACCTTAGCAAATGGGGATCGAAGTGAGGAAGCCGTTGAAGCCTACACAAGAGCTTTGGAAATCCAGCCGGGCTTCATCAGGTCCAGGTACAATTTGGGAATAAGCTGCATCAACCTCGGAGCGTACAGGTGAGACAGATAGATCCATTCTCTCTCCCCCTCTCTACAAAAAAAGTGTTTATCCAGCCCTATGTGGCATAACTCAGTAAAGTCAAAGGAAAGTGGAAACCCAAGGGTAGGATTAGTCTTTCCCCAACCTGTTTCTAAAAGAGGGTCCTTTTATGCATACCCTTGCCCTGCAAATACTAGTCATGTTCTGAAATAAATCTCTCTGCATCTTCTTATTTAAGATTTCCATTCAAAACATCACGTTTTTGTATTCAGATCCCACACAAATTCAATGATTTGTTAAAATACAAACCAGAGTGTTTTGAGTTGAGGACAACTAGTTTTTTCTTATGATTTCCCAGTAGAACAGAACAAGATAAACTATATACAGTGGCTCTTTCATGCAGCTGAAAGTGTAATCGCTCATTGTCAGTTCCACTGTCATCTCTGATCAGATTGGAAAATGTATTTGTTTGGACCACCGCTTATAATGAAAACTATAATTCAATACACACATAAAGATCTATACAGCCATTTATCATTGGAACAAACCACCATCTGCACACACAGGCACAAAAATGTTGATGTGTATGCTTACTTACTTATTTACTTACTTAGACGATCCCTTGTAGCCCGAGGATGATGGTCCTCTTAAGTGTAGTGTCTTGGCGGTGGGTCCAAAGGTGGCAGTGGAGCCCTAATCTTGATCTACATGTTCTTCCGCAGTGAGGACATCGGTTTCGAGGTGGAAGGCGGTCCCGGTCAGGGTTTTAACAAATATAAACTTATTAGTATTTCAATGGGAAGTGTGGGCCTGCTTTTGGCTGATGAGATAGGATTGTTGTTCCTGTTGTTGTTGTTGTTGTGTGCTTTCAAGTAGTTTCAGACTTGGGTTGACCCTGAGCAAGGGCTGGGTAAATGATCTTGGAGGCCTGTATCCGGCCCTTGGGTCTTAGTTTGTGGACCCCTGCTCTAGGCTCTCCCAGCATTTCTCTAGAGGTGCCAGAGTATATAATTGTGTGTTCATAACTGGATGTTCTTCCATTACCACCAAAATCCACTTCTCTGCTGACAAGTAAATTGATATTTGAAGGAGCTGCAATAGCAGTCCATAGGGGCAGCTTTGGTGAAGGAATTTTATTGATTTATTATTTTATTTACGTCACTTCTATCCCACCCATATCAGCCCGAAAGCGACTCAGGGCTGCGTTATTTTGGTTATTTCTTTGTTGGAAGAGAATTCCAATTTCTACATCAACCCAAGAAGTGTGTTACACAAATGTAAATTGGGCTTACGATTCTATCACTTGATTCAGTCACAGAATCAAAAAAGTACTAAAGTTGAATAAAGACATCTTGTTGCTTCAAATTTTGTGTCTGCAAAGGTATTGGCCTCTTCTTCTCAGTTTGACATGTTTTCTTCTCTTCTCCACCACAGAGAGGCAGTGAGCAATTTCCTGACGGCTCTCAATTTGCAGCGAAAGAGCCGTAATCAACAGCAGGTTCCTCATCCTGCAATTTCAGGTAATATCTGGGCTGCTCTCCGGATCGCTTTGTCTATGATGGACCAACCAGAACTTTTTCAGGCTGCTAATGTGGGTGACCTGGATGTTCTATTAAAAGCATTCAAGATTGAGCCCTAAACACACATGTGCATGCATGCAAACAAACACACACACATACACATCAAGCCCTTTAAAATTCAGAAACCTTCTTGTTGAGACAATAAAGGAAATACATTTAAATTCCTGGTTTGATCAGATAAAGGCCACTTGGATGCTTTCCAGTTGAAAAGGATTCTGCAGGTTTCTAGCAGATCTACAGAAAAGAAGTTGAAAAGCACAAAACTTTGTAAATACCACCTTGCTCAAAGTGTTTGCGATGGACTGGACAAGAGCTACCATGACGCAGATGGAAATTGGATTTAAAAAACTCTTACCTGAATATTCTTTACAACATGTATCAACCTATATGAAGAACATTGTGCTACCTAAGCAGAAAATCTTATTAGAGGAGAGCATTGGGTAACATTTTCTTGGGAATCTACTAATCCATTGGATCTTCTGGGCAAGAGCGGTGGCTTGTAGTTCATTTCTTCCAAGGGCCTGTTTTCCACAAATACGACCATCAGTACATGCATGTTAGAGTAGCTGTGTTTACTCCAACAATATATTTACCAGGCAACCCTTTAGAGCTCAAAATTAAGTTTTCTGGGTTTTAAAAGAAACCTGAAGTCTAATCATGTGAAGCCTGGTATGGCAAAGATTTCAAGAGAGTCAGGAAAAATTCTACACAGAGGAATTTGCAGGTCAAATCATATATTTTTGGTTATGTTGAGAAAGCATATATTGTACTTTGCACTAGAGTTCGGGATAAGTATCATTAGGGCTGGCCCTAGCTGGGCGCACTAGACAGGTCTCTCTAGGTGCACCTCCATCCCTTCTCCCTTCCTAGAACCACAGGTTGTCTTTTCAAAAATCCACACCTCTTTAGCTTTGAGGGTTAACTTCTTATGGAGCTTTAACTTCCAGCCATCTGTTTTCAGTGATTATGGAGGAATGTTGCATTCAAAGCCATTACTGGTGACCTAACAGTGTCTGAAGGTAGCTCAGAATGCTACAGAGATGGAGTAAGAAGAATGTGTCATGCAGTTGGTAGAGAACTGTAATATGCTTTCTTCCCTCTATCAAGTGCTTAAAACAATGGCAAGGATCCTGTTGGTGTACTACATTGGTGTAGGTGTTGATACTGGCGGGGAAAGGCCATGGATGCAACAGTCATGAAGAACCTAATGTGTTGAAGAAATAGACTTGCATTGAGCTGGCAGATTTTGTCCACCTACCTTCGTCAGTGCTACATGACTAGGGAAAAATACAGTCACTAATGTTGTGCACCAACATGATGCCAACTTGTGTTGGCTGCAGATAAATAATGCAGAGCTTGAAAAACTCATAGATAGACCATTGGTGGCTGGGACCGCCTGGGTATTGCAATATAAAAAAATAACTTTTCCAAGCTTTGGTGAGGTGGCCAGACAGAGGTAACTTGAGTGTCCAGCAGCTGGCTGCAGAGATGTTTGTTGTGCAGTGCACACTGTTTTGAGCAGAGCTCACAACAAAAGAAGAATCAATGAATGTATGCACTTTAATCAAGCTTTTTTGGTTAGTTTATATTCTGGGGTTGGGAGGGAAATGCATGACTTTTTTACATGTCGACTTTAGGAGCGAACGATATTGATTCAACAGTGTTGGGATGAAGATCCAGTAAGGATTCCTCAACCCAAGGCTACTATTTAAAACTGCAAAGAGATTTAATAAATTAGCTTTATTATAGAAGGGTTAAGAGGAGACAAATGTCAGCAATGAAAGAGCACCCATGTTTCCTTGTCCTTCAGCAAGAAAATGAGGGACCTGGTGTTTTAGCAAAAAGATGTAGTTGAAAATAAACTAGAATGAATGTTAAACTATCTAGTCTAGATTCCAGAATTCCTCTCTGCCTTAGATGGTTATAAGATCCAACACTAAAATAGGTTTCATGGTCAATGAGAAGTAAACCGTCCCCATGTAATAAGTGGGAAGTCTATTGATTCTGGTAGGTCTCTTACTGAAACTGGAAAGTTACTTTTTGGGCTACAACTCCTGAAATCCCACAGATGCTAGCTGTGATGGTCATGGTATTTGTCTCATCTAAAAATATAAAATTTCCCAGTCTCTGGTCTGATACCAGAAAATTAGGAGAGCTTAACCCCCAAGGAAATAAAACACATTGAGAAAACCCTTTTCATTCCTATTGGCTTCTGAAGTAATAGATGTTAGATTGAAGACAGAAACTTCAGTGGTGCATTATTCTTTAGGCAATTGTATGACGGTGGCAGCCTTTCAATATAAAAAATACAGGTAATAGTGATCGTATCATTGTATTCTTAGATTCTTAAACATTCAAAACTGAAAATATAAATAATTATTCTTTTTAAAAACAGAAATAATAATAATAATAATTATTATTATTATTATTATTATTATTATTATTATTATTATTATTTTATGTATATTCCGCTCTATCTCCCCGAAGGGACTCAGGGCGAATTACAAATATAAAAGGCACACATTCAATGCCCAAATACAACAATACATCAATACTAACAAAATTTAAACAACCCAACATATAAACACAAATTATGACTTAACAACTAAAATTAAATAAAAAACACAGCCTGTTATAACAGACATAAGACAAAACATCAAATTAGAATGCAGGCTCAAGTCCTGTTACTTCTAACTATAGCAGACCAGTGGGATTTGCCAATTTTGGCTGGCTCCGGTTCAGTAACGAATTTAATAGGTTGTTCGAATTAACCAACTAATACTTGAATCCACCATAGTCACACTTTACTGTGAAATCCTCACAGAGATCCTCTTCATTCTGAGACATTGCCTCTTAAAGAGTTGTTGTTTCCCAAACTTCTTCCCTTTTGCCATGTACAGTTTTCTTTAAAGTATAAAGAAAACAACCAGGACATAAAAATGCTCCTACAAATCCCACCATTAAGACTACTCATATTCCTGTGTCTATTGCTAATCTTCAATAAATTGGAATACAACTGTAATGTAATACAACTGTTCGGTTGCCTGACACGATCAATCAATCAATCAATCAATCAATCAATCAATCAATCAATAAATAAATAGGAATCCTTAGAAAATAACCCAAAGTATACGATGAAAGCATTTTTATTGTCTGTGATGGTTTATGGTGTTGCTTATCTTTCTCTCACCATATTTCTACCATACCACCCTAAGCATACCACCCATTCCCTTCTGGCTTCAGAAGCTAAATATGGTCAGGCCTAGTTAGTACTCAAATAAAAGACCAGAAAGAATTCCAGATATCTCTAGGAAGGGATCCAGGGAGTTATGGCTCAAAAAAGTAACTTTTCAAAGCTCTGATGTAGGCTATGCTACATCAAATGTCAATAGACTGGCCTACCTTTTGTTGTCCCCAAATGACAGCATGAGGACAAATGTACTCTGGGGTAAAAACAAACTGGCAGAGCTTTCACACAGACAGCAATAAGACTTAGATGGAAATGATCCAATCCATCTTGCTGCTTTTTTTCTCCTCGCAATGATGTTATGATGCTCTCTGCACCATTGCTATTATGCTATCACTGCGTGTCTGCTGGAAATGGCGGTTTGTTTTTATGGCTTGTGGACAAGCCTCTTTGCTGCCATTCCTTTGTCCTTTTTTAAAGTTGCTCACAAAGCTGCAACAGTTAATCCTCCCACCATCCAAATGCTCCAGAATACCGTTACTCAATAAAGGTTACTCACTCAGTAGAAAAATACTGAATTGGCTATCAGAAAAGGAAATTAAATGCAGCAAAAGTAGAACCTTGAGAGGATGTCTTTTCATTCCTGTTATAACATTGCTCCCTGAGTCCGGCAACTTGGGGCCAAGTCCAAAGGCTGAAAACAGCCTCATCCCCTTCTGCATTTGCATCCTTTTTGAGTGACAGTTTTGGACACTTGACACCAAACCTTATGAGCTGCGGTTAGGCAATGGAATTGCATGCGCAGCTTGACACAGGGATGCCACTCAAACTGGCATCCTTGTGTCAACAATTCTTCTGACTATCACCCTACCCCTTGATCATATATATGCATGTCCTTTCCCTCCTTCTACTCGCACCAGGCAATAATATGGGAACAGGGTATGACAATAAAGAGGTATGTCTGATTGAAGGGCAGCTGATAAGCAGAGAAGAAATTCGACACAAGGCTGCACTTCTGGGTAGCCTCTCCATTTAGTGTCACATGTATGTCCACTGGTAGACTGGTTATTTCAACAAAGCCAAATGCCATCTTTATCTTATTCTAAAAAAACAACTCAATTTCCTGAGCTTTCTAGACTTGGTTTTTTCCCTCCAATGAAGACCATTATTGTGGCTAGCTGAAACGTGTGTTATCAGTAGACGCACACAGGGAGAGAAATGTTTAAATGAGCAAATGTACCTATATGTATTGTAATTATTTCTCCCCCCTCTCTGATAGTTGTGCAAGTTTGTAAAAAAAAAGGAAAAAAAGAAAAAAATATTTTCAAAGAAATAGCTAGCCTCAGGTATCAAGTGTATTGCATGCAGCCATATTTGACATCTACAGCCCTGCTACTGGTATAATGCATGTTTGCAAAGCAACAATCTTTTAAATGCAAAAGCATGCTGTGCATGTCTCAACGATTCAACATTCATAAGAACAGAGTCAATATGCCAAGCAGCAATTTGCTTTTGTTAGATAATTGGGGCTGAAAGATTGTGTCAAGTGACCTGAGAAGAAATGAGAGGAACAAATTGTGTCACTTGGTTGGTAGCATGAAACATTAGGTGGCCTCTTCGGGTAGCAATTTTTGCAGAACATTAAAGGTAGCAAACTGCAAGTTATTGCCACCCTGGGGCCTGAGCAGCCTTTTGCACTTTTCAGGCACCAATAAGATCAGGGCCCACTTTGATCTGTCTTTCACAAACTCACTGTTCCTCTGCATGGGTCAATGATCAAGGCAGAGAATAAGCATAAAGACTTTACAAAGCCTGAAACAAAGATACCCCTGGAACAAAGGAACCAAATGTGGAATAAAGTCACTTCCAGCACACGGGGTATTTCACTCATCCTTTTAGGAGTTGGCAGTAGATTTGGGCTTGCATCCTAATTGTCAGTCCCAACTAGAGCAGTCACTAAATGAGATTCACATGAAAGTGGTTCAGTGGGAACTAACAACTGGTTTTAGGCTCAGGCTTTATTTGGTGACCCTGAACTAGAGAACTGGAGCTATATGGCATCCATTATAGAAGGAGGCAACACTGGTCAAGAAGGGTGTCAACACCTGGGTACAGACTGTTATTGGCAACCTTTGAACTGTACTTGTAGTCGGTTCTTTAACAGGTGCTTTTTCTGCAGTTTTTTGCAGGTGATGCTATCTTTGTCTGAAACATGAAAACATAAGAAACTCTTTGGGAACAGGTGGCTTCCACATCAGTGGGAAATTGAGCCTCTGTTGGATTTTAGTCCAGACTTTAAAGTAGATGGTGCTGAACTCTACACCAAGCCCAGGTTCACCACCTTGGATATATCCTTTAATGTCCAGACCAAATCCCAAGGGTGGGTGCACTCTCCCATTGATGTGGAAACCATCATGATTCCCATACCAAGTGGCAGAACATTTTTGTCACATGTGAGTAGTCTACATTCAGTCCATGATTGCATTTCATATGCATAAGCATAGATTGGTTGTACAGTCAGTTGCCCAATGATGCAATTCACTAAAGAGACAGCATGTGCCTGTGGATGTAAACTTAGCACTCTATCTTCTCTGTTTAGCATTTTTGTCATTATCTACATCAGTGGTTCCCAACCTTGGGTCCTCCAGGTGTTTTGGACTTCAACTCTCAGATATCCCAGCCAACATATCAGCTGTTAGGAATAGTGGGAGCTTAAGTCCAAAACACCTGAAGGGCCAAAGGTTGGGAACCACTGATCTACATTATGTCTTTCTCATTACAGCTAGATATTGAATTTTTGGGTGTTCCCTTGCTTATAAAACTGCTTTTAGAGACATGCAATCAGCCTATCCAGTTGGCATCCTCCACTATGAACCCAGTACCAGGCTGAAACAATGGAAAGCTTGAGAACTGGTACCCTTCACCTCATAACTGAGGTCTTTGTGCAGGTTGCCCTTCAGATCACCTCTGAAAACCAATGAATATCGAAGATAATAACCATTTCCCTCAATGGGAAGTAAGGGCAATGGGGAGGAATTTTGTAGCTGGACAGTAGAGACAGAATAAATATTATTAAATAGAACTTGGGAAATGCTAATTTTAGATTACCACACTAGTCATGATGACTGGGGAATTTGGGGAGTTGAAGTCTGAAAAGTAACCTTTTCTAAG